AAGATACTACTTCACATGGGGAGGTCTCAAGGAAATGGAATTTAGTTCATAACATAACTGTACAGTGGAGTTCCTGTAAAAAAACACATGTATTTATTTTACTCACTGGAGAAGTTTCATCCTCTCTAGCCCTGTGACTTGTCCCTTCCTTGCAGTCACTGCTTTTAGCATAGATATTCAGTGGCTTAAGACAAAATAATTGTAGGGTAGCTTGATGGAAATCATTCCTCTCTCACGTTCACAGACACACAGACATGCTCCTAAAATGAATATGTCTAAATAACAGTCACTGTATTTCACATTCACAAAGCTAAATTTATTTTAAATGACATATAAAAGGAAAATGTTACATGGTGACTTTTATTCTGATATATCTGCCACTGACCGCTAATCTAACTTGAGTCGAATACGTTGAAACGTCATTTGCATGACTGCATCTACTTAAACTAAATAATCTTCCTCTTCAAATAAGTAGGCCCTTGTTTGTTCTTCCAAAAGGGAATGGGATGTCTTGCAAGGTGATRAAGCATTTCTGTCCAATTTTAGTCTTTGTCTAAACAAACAATGTAAAAGTTTTGTATAAATATRCACATCACACACCAGACACTCCTAGAAGTGGCACTAATTTCATGTGGTTGTAATATGTGTCCTTCATTAACATTCTCCCATTTCAGTTTTTGGTGTTGTTCTAGAAGATCATCAATGTATAGAAATGAGAGAAAGAAGCTCGCGACACAGCCACCTGGCTCTACCTGCAAGGGCAACTTGTGTCCTTGACACTTGAATTGTGTGCCCACCCACCTCCTACATCAAACCTTTCTCTAACRCCCAAACTAAAAATGACATCCGCTAAGAGACCAAAACTGAACTTRGGGCAGCTCAACATCTTGTTCTGCAGAAGTATTTGAGAATGTGTCAATACTAAAAATGTCTTATTTTCCTCTTAAACAGCCTTTTAATCTAAAAATGCATAAAACTTTTCCACGGGACCACCAAGAGAACACCTCCATGATCTACATTCGTAGCCATCTAATGGTTCAAAGCAGCCATTAAAAATCATTCTATTTTTTGCTTTCCTTACACAGCAAAGGTGGCAATGAGAATATTTCAGGATTTCTTGCTGAGCTGGTTTTAAAAATACTCCAAATTAAGAGAAAAAAAAAATTAAACTACCTAAAGGACTTTGGAAACGGATATTAGTGCCTGAGCTCAGAAGTCTGTTYGAGAACTCCCTATCATCTCCACAATTATTAGTATCTTTAAAAAAAAAAAAAATGATTCTATATCTTCCCCTAAAACCAACAGCATCACTTTACTGTGCCAGTAAAAAATAAAAAAATCCATTAAAATTATCTAGACACAATATGAATCCTATCCTGCTTTAAGGAATCATTAGTATCTGAACTGAGACAATATACCCAATAAGGCCCCAAGCTTAAATAAGGATCAGCTTAAAAAAAGTTTTATCTTGGGCCCCTATTTGTGCTAATGAAATTACATACTGAAGTTTTTTGAAACAGTGAAGTCAAAATAGAGATCCTGCCATGAATTATAAGGAAATGCAAATAATCCTACTATTTGTGGTAAATACAATTTTTTAGGTCAAATGCATAAAATCCACAGTAACACCTACACAACACAGGAAAATGTCAAACTATACTTCCTCAAATGCCACTGACACAGTGAGACAGAAAAAAAAAAATCACTTTTAGTTGATTCTAGCTTTTCTTTCTTCTGTTAACTCCACCATCAAAGAATGGGAAGGGCTGCTGCAATAAACCTACCTGATCAAGCTCCTCTGACCTTTCAAAAATACCAATGAAGCATCAAATGCACCAGGAATTACTAAAGTCTCCCACAGATTTGGAAAAAGCAACTAGACAGTATGGGAGAAGTTTCTTCCTAACAAGTTAGGCAATTGTATCTCTTCTCAAGCATCTCAAGGCACTAACACCAACATCAAGGTGATTATCTGATGTGTAATATCAAAGTATGATCTGATGATGATGTAATAGGCCATACTACTTCAATTCTTTTAGCATGGCATAGTAGTTTTAACCATGTAAATCAAAGCACTACAACTGACCGGGCTGTTAGACAGAGAGGATTTAAACTCATTGCCTAGTGCCCATATGGGACTGCTACACCTAACTCAGCAGTCCAGCGAGGACACTGACTTCTACTGCTTTTTTGGTTTAGCCAGAGGCATCAAATGCCAGTCCCCAAGACCTCTATGCATGCCCATGGCCCACCTGTGCTGAATATATTGGATTCCTGCTAGCTAACTTGTTAACTATGTTTTGAGGCCAACAACAAAGAAGGCTGTACAGAAAAGCTTCATTTCCAAGTTACATTCCCAAATAATAATCCTAAGAGACCTTTACTCTCTTATCCTTAAATTACTTTCCTTGGCTTAGAGCTTTAAGATTTTATTGCTTTTCAAGTTAGTGGTGAAAGATTTAATCACAGATTTGTTAGATTTAACCACAAGGTTTTCCAGAACCTTCTAAGTTCCCACAAGAGCCACAGCAGAAGTTCCCAGCTATAAACACTACTGCAAAAATTTTGGATTTACCATGGATTTCCTCCTAGTAATCATTCACAGCTTGAGTTTAGCAATAAAGAAATCCATCATCATGCCCCCAGCAGCATCTGGGAGCTCAGGCTTTTGGCAGAGGAAATGGAACAGCAATTGCCTCGCAGAACAGGAAATCAATGACTTCCCCACGAAGGGGTGAACAACAGGTTGCTCCTGCTGTGCTCAACATCATTGATTTCCTTTCGTGCCAACAAAGCTGCTTTGCACATTCAATGAAAAAAGTCTCTGTCCCAGCCAGTTGGAGACACAAGCCTTCCCCCAAACCCTRCCCTTACCAATCCAGTGGGCAGCAGGCTATGCAGTTGCAATTTGGTAGACAGGGAGGAAGAAAGGAAGTTTTGGGACACCTGGCCTCCCAGACATCCTTTAAACAAATGGCTATGAGGTATTTGACCAATGCCCCAGCAAAACACTTGTCAAAACTCACCTCAAGTCTCATGGCTTGACAAAGCCTCGTGAATTAAGCTGAGCTGTGACCACATTAGGGCCGGGAACACCCTGGTAGTCCTGTTTCTCACAGGAATAGGGCAGTACTATTTATTTCCAACAATTTGAGATCTGAGACCAGCATAAAAATATTTTGATAGTGTATTTGACAGTGACTGAATTTCTTCATAACTAAAACAAAACATTAACATAGGCCAGAGAACACCCTGTTTCTGAGAGGCTCCAATAGAGACTGTAAGAATGAAAATATTCACCCAAGATCTCCTGTCAAGTTCATAGCAAAGACAACCTTCGATCTCTGCTGTTTTAAAATCTCAGCTTCTTCTGAAGTTTACTAGTCTTACTGCTCCCTGAAACATTAAGTGACATTAAAAAGAGTAACATTAAAAACACAAGTCTCACCAGATACAGACTTTACCCTTGAAGGACAGAATGCAAAATGAATTTCATGTACAGACCATCTCTACCTCAAGCTAGACTTTCCAGAGAGACCATATAAATAGAACAATTTAAAACATGTATGTAGTCATCAAAATTGAACTTCACATCTGTACCAATATCAGAGGTCATTGATCATAAAAAGGCAGATGGAAGGGACTTTCGGTCAATCCAGACTTGGCCCTACTTTGAACCAGTGCTCTGAATAAGCAGCTTGTCCATTAACTGGTCGTGTCTCAGATCAGAAGATATTRCTGAAGCTGTTTCCAGAGCTATGCCTACACATTATTTCCAGTAACTGCAGACATGTTAGATGCACGGATGGATCTAGCTGATGAAGATTTGACTATATCAACTGTATTTTGCAGCCTATGCTGATATGACTGCATGTCTAGCTATATCTGGGCTCAATGAATACAGATATTATGGATGTATAAGCTGCAAAACAAGTTACAATACAGTACAAATGTATTTTTAAGTCTTTAGTAGCTTCTAGGTTTTCAGGGATACTCTGCTCATTTCTCTGTGCACATTTTATGTTTGTATCCATTTCTGCAGTGTAAAAGGTTACATTTGTAAACTCTAATATCTTATTTCTCTAGAGTCATTACTGCTCTAAATCAATTCAGGTCATGYTGAAATTAGTCTTGTCCTTCATCAGGGTTATCGCTCCTCTGGTTTTGAGATAATTAATATACACTTGTAGGTAAATTACAACTGAAGTGAAAGACAGGAAAGAAGTTGGGTTACTCAGTAATATTTGTTCTTTTCCCTCTGTCCTCGAGTTCCATGAGAAGCCTCTGGAATTCTGACTATGACCCAATCTCATCAGTCAGCAAAAAAAAAAGACACTTTGTGAAGGTGCTTCCTAGAAGAAAGAAGTTACCTACAAGAGATTCCTCAGTAAATTCGGGTACCACAGAAAACCCTACCTGTTTTCCTGTGAAAGGGAAAATCCTCAGTCATTGTTTCCTAAATTTGTCACCTTCTTCATAGTCCATCCTRGCTGCAATAAGAATCACTTTCATCATCATGGACAGCAGTTTGGCCTGAATTTCAGGCCAACAAATTTGGCCTGAATTTTGCATGGTGGAATGTGTCCTGACCATTCATAGTGGTTTTGGTAAGGTAAGTACAAAGACTCAAAACTGTTGCAATACAAGCTAAATAATAATAATAATAACAATAATAATAATAATAATAATAATAGAATGAGTTCCGGCTTTATATGTCCTTCATTCTAGCTTTCTGACATGTATAGCCAAAATCACACCACTCTTTTGACTGATAAACTTAGAGCTATTATTTATCATAAATGGCAAGACCATCATTGAGGCCAAATAATACTTCATCATACATTCTTAAACTGATCACACATCTTAAGTGCATTTTAATCTGTGGAAGGCCTGGTTCTATATTTTATAAAGAAACACAGTCGTACTAATTTACTACTTTTTCTGTTTTGAAAAGATTCTCTTTTATTCATGGYGAGAATGATTTGGATGAAAACTCTTACCTGTTTTCCATCTAGTGTGTACAAGCGTTTAACCACCCCAGAATCCAGCTTGATGGCATCTGTTATATCAGTAAGAACCTGTTCAAACGAATGTGCTGTCTTCTTGTTGAGCAGAATCCGGACTGCCTTACGTGGTTTCACTCCACTCCTGATGATAGTGACTAGCTTAGGCCTAATGAAATCCTTATTCTCCTTCGCATCTGGAACACCTCCTTTGGCAGTGGCGAGAGACGGCACTGAACGGGAAGTAGAAGTTGTCTTAACRTTCACTGACCAGTTTGGGTTTACATTCTTGGTGTACTCCAGTTTCTTGAAGGGCTCTATTGAACCACATACATAGCTCTCCCCTGCAGGAACAAAAATACCAGATAAGAAAGTCAGATCAGGGGAATGATAATAATAAAATACAAAAACCCAAGGAAAATACCAAATGAAATCCTACTCAATTATTAAACATTATTCTCATGATTCTTGATCTAAAGATAAATCTACAATGCATAAATACTGATCTYCTTCCTTCTTAGATGTTATGGACTACGAAAATATCTTACAGAGCACTTATCAGCCATTAAAGATGTTATTACAAACCTCTTGAAAGCTATGGTTTTCTTTTCAAAAAAAAACCCGCCATCTGAAGTAGGGACTGCTACTGTCAGTAAGTGGCCTATGCAGCTAATCAGCTTTCCAGCCCGAGCGCATTATCACAGCAGTCCTCCAGCATTCACATTTAAATTGCCCAACACCAAYGAAACAACAGGGCCCAAACACTCCAGAAGAAACACTTTGAAACATTATCAAAAGCAACARGTTGAAAATTAATTTCTATAAGAAATGGATGAAAGTACCATGGTAAATTTGTTAATATTTATTTTAAACTTTAAATAATATAAAACAGGATGCATATAGGCAAGAAGTCTTACTACTATTCTATGGACTCACTCTATATATATGGGGGAAGAAAGAAAGCAAGGAGCAGAGTAACTTCATTGGGAGGGAACTCTGCAGTTATCAAGAGCAAGAGTGAGAAGAAAGAGAGAAAAAAAAGAAGGCTGATTATAGCTGATATTTCTATCAGAGCATTTTCTACCAAAAACAACAACAACAAAAAAAATAGAATTAACACRCCTACTTATTTCTGGAACTAATGTAGCTACTGAACACAACCACATCTGCCTTTCACCTTGAAGCTAAGGTGAAAAGTGAGTTAACAACTCAATTGACTCCAAGTGCAGGTTGCTGCAAGAGGGGCAGCCCTCCCCAACCCTTCCCTCACGCTTGGGTGAGGGACTGCGCTGCCAGTGGGTGAGACTGTTGATCTGATAGAACAAAAATGCATTAATAAAGACAGAATGAATACTTAAAGAGCTGGGTGATCCAGCTCACCCTGTGGCTGGGGGCAATACACACAAAACCCCTTAACRCTAAATCCAGGAAGACAACATCTTTTGGCAGCCTACAATTAAACTGGATGACAAATAATACAAAATYCCGTCCCAAACAATACCACAAAAACATCTGAGATGTTTCAAATCTTCTAGGTTCTGTAGTTCAGTGTTTGCTAATGATATAAAGACATTTATGTTTGCATTTAGCCCAAGGTATTAAAACAGAAACATGGAGGGAAAAAAAAAATGGTACTTACTATGCCAAACAGCATGCAAGAAGAAGAAAAAAAGCCATCTCACATACACTAAAAGATCAATTTTGCTAATTATTCTCACCCTAAAAACAGGATTCAGGGTTCAGTACCTAGATTTCCTTTCTGACATTCATTTTTAAGGATTAAGGACCCTTTACTCCAGCCCCACAAGAAACACAGGACATAGTTAGCTCTGGGAGAAACCTTTGGGACAGAGCGTCCCAGGATGCAAGAGGAATTTGGGCCTCTACTGGTAGAGCTGCCATGATCCCAAAGGGAGAGATGAGGAGGTGACTCATAACTCCATGGCCACCAGAAAGGCGGTGGCAGAACTCCAAGTGAAGATAAAGAGGTCAGAGMAACAGGTGAAGATGGACCACAGGGCAGCAAACTGCAATGAGCAAGCAGCAATCATAGAAAGATTTTTATTTATTTTTTAGAAAGATTTTTTAAAATATTCTTTAAAAGCAGAACACCAAATGCAAAGCAGGAGACAAGTGCAACATTCAAATGTTTGCTAATAATCATGTGAATTCAAGTTGCTGCACACTTTCCAATAACATCATAACTTAGGAARGGAACCCCGGAGGGAAAGCTACACTAAATTAACGAGAGTCCAAAGTACTTTCTCCCCTTTTATCCATATATACATAAATATATGATGTATATACACTGTGTGTGTATATATACTTTATATATACACACACGCACACATATATAGATGGATATATGTAAAGAAAGACAGACAAGAGGGCTTAGCAGTGGTACTGATCCAAGAATAACCATACAAGACATTCTCTTCTTTTCCTATCCATGTCCCTTGACATTATTTTTAATACTTAACTGTTAAATTACTACAAGGTAAGAACAACACGAACGCACCCTCCTTCCCCAATGCCTCACTTACAAGCAACAAATTTAAAAAAAATAAAATGCTGCTTTGTGGAAAAAAAAAAAAACCACAAAGATCCTAATATGAACAAAACTGCATCCAATACAATAAATACTTCTTTTATAAAATATTTTGCAGAAGTCAAAGAAATCCAAGATTCATGAGATTTTACTGTCCTCTAGATTTTAAGAAMACTTGTCTCCATTTGAGTTGTAACTCAAATTTAAAACACACTGGAAACCTTTTTCAGAGGAAAAATATATTTGGGGATTCCATGTTACCAGAGAAATCTTCCAGTTATTTGCATAAAATAAGACTGTGTCCCAAAAAGGTGACATTATATTAAAGCATATTTCTCAAAGGTCCATCCTTCTGAATTTCAATTTACATTTCACTATCAACCCAGTTACTCAGAAATGAGTAACAAAAAGTTGCATCTACTGTACCCAGAAAATGGACACCAGAAAACTTAAGAATTATTTTTGTTCTCTTTCACAGAAGGAAAACATTTCATGTGATTTTTAATACTACTTATATTAAAGATCAGTTGACTTCCTAGCAAATGTGTAACAGCATTTTTCAGCCACTTGCATTTACCCTTTTGTGTAAGTGAATATGAAAGAGCCTGATACAATCCCTGAATCTATAGGATTGTTTTAAYATCCAACTGCCTCCTCCCTCTTCTTTTCCAACAGGCCTGCATACGGYATCAATAAAATATTTGTACCAAGATACATTTTTTTCCTTCTTGAGAGGCATCAAATTTAGCTACAGAATTCCTAGGAGGTAAAAGAATATCCAAGGCCTTGTAGGATTAAATATCTTTATTAAGAGCAACTGCATATAGCAAAACAGAAATACAGGCACTCCATCCCCTTCTCCCCACATCATGTCAAATTAAGACTTCACACTTTAAGACCCCCAACACGAAGCTTCAGGGAAGTCTGTCTGGGATTGTAATTTATAGGGAGGTCCAGACCTCTAGGGACATCAATTAAATRGGCAGAAGTCCAACACCTTACAGGTACCTCATCTTTACAATCAGTAAACTGTTTTATGGCAATATTCAAAGCTTAAGTACTCCTAATACTAGACATACCTAAGTGTAACTTTAGGTTTCCTGAACTTAAGGTCCAGGGCTTCACACTGACAGCAGCCAGAAAGTCCAGTTCCTGATCCGATCCTTCAGCTCTGGCAGTACTTGTGTCAGTAGGAAATCTCAATGGAAAGGCCAAAAAAAAAAAAAAAAAACCTTGGTTTTCATTTTCATAAGTACCTTAAGGAAGSGAAGACGGCAAAAAAAAATCTGCAGTAAACACCACTGCTTCAAGGACAGCACCAAAGTGCCTCGGTACTGCAGAGGGGGATTGTCAAGCCAGCAGATCCACCTTCTGCTAAACTCCTGCCTCCTGAGGAGTCTCTCACAGCTGCTCTGAGGAGGAGGCAGGGAGGCCTGCAGTCCTTTAGTCTCACACTAAAGCAAGGCAGCTTGATTCAGGAATCGGCGCCTGGAATCAAACTGCAGTCAGGACAAGATTAAAACCATCAAATGCAGCTTAAAAACTTACTTTTTGGTAACCTTTCTCTACTACCGTCGTGTGGACAATCACTTCACCATAGTAAATTGTGAATTGTGCCTGAGGTGCAGCAGAGCTGAACCTTGTTCATAGCCACCAGCAGCAGCAAATTATCCTCCCCAGATGCAGAGTAACAGAGAAACACACATTTGAGAGGTGTCAGAGCTTGCAGTCATCTAATGAAATCTTGACTCTTGATTACAGTATCCATAACCATTAGAATTTAAAAAAGGGGTGAAGGAGATCCAGCTATTTTGGAACATCTGAAACCCAGCCAGGAAAAAAAAGCATTAAACACTAATACCTCTTTCCCGACGGCCCCACTTTCCTCCTCACCTTCTCAAATCAACACTATAAATTAAACATTTACCCAACTTTACCCACTCAGAAAAAATAAAATCCACGATGTTTGTTTTATGTTTCTGAAGCGGTAATCTCACAATTTAAGGTGTATGAGTGTTCAACACTTAATAAAATCTAAAATGTACCCTACAAAAATCTTGGCATTCAAAGGTTAATCCAAGCCAATCCTTTAGAAGCCTGGCTTGTACTAAAAATAAAAGGTAAAATAAAGTCTACTACCTGCAGGTATACTTCTTTAAAAAATTAATGCAGCTGAATCACTGGAGACACCGAACACCACAGGACAGTTCTCTTAGGCAATGACAGAATGTCATAATATCCTTCATATTAAAAGCACAATCAAAAAATAAAAATCTCTACAGAGTGGGTGCTAAGGAGATCCTCCTTGAATCATTACCTGGAAATACTGGAGCTTTCCTGACATGAATGTTTGACTCCCTCTTTCTGGTGCATTGATATTAATGTTTTCTTCAGCTTCTCATGCTCATTACTAGAATGTCCCCCCCACTATCTCTTGAAAGAGACTATTCAGATTGCTTTTCTGGGTGAAGACAACGTAACCTAAATGGCTCCATGGAGAAGGTTCCATAAGCTGGCCCTTACTGGTGGAAAACCCCGGATAAGAGAGACAGAGGCTCTTTGAATGATGCAAGGAAGGTAGGAAGAGTTATTCCTTGCTGGACGGCGTGACTGCCACTTCATTGCTTAAAATGGTGTTGGTTCCTCATTTGAGAGCATCTCTACAACCTCACCAGAGGTGGAAGAACAGCAGCAAGCACAGCCAAGGAGGCTCAGTGCAACCATCATTCATTGTCGTCCGTTTTCCCAACTAATGGGACAAAAACCAGACTCATAGATCATGAAAGAGGCCTGATACCCCATCATCCAGGCAACCTTCCTGACTGCCATCCTGTTGATTTCATACAAGCAAAAGGCCAAGGAACAAAACCCTGTTCTGACAATCCTCCACCAAGCAGAGCCGTCTGCAAAAGGAAGATGACCTGAACCAAGTAGTTATTACCTGATAGTTCCCAAATGTGTTGCTTAATAAAGCAATAACCTAGTTAAACTATATTACTGGTGCATTGTCTTCCTGCAGTGTCTTGAAAAAATGCAACAGCATAAAAGAAATCAAATATCTTAAGGAAACAAACCTACTCCACCCTTTTTGCCTAGCAATTAGATGCACCAAGAAACTTTTAGAATTTGGAATAAATTAGATCTCATATTTTTAAAAGGACTTTCTTACATTTTGATTTATAGAAGACATATCATTCTTTCTGCTCAGCTCAGACTGAAAACAAACTAACAAAAATTCCCCCCTTTTCCATACACAAGCAAGACAATGAAAATGCACCATGCCACAAGCCTAAAGTAAAAAAAAAAAAAAATCCTTACTTGTGGTACAAGCAAGATTTGCCTTGTACTTGTGTATCACTGGAAAACACCTAAGAAAAAAGGAAATCATGCGACCTTCCAAAAAGATTGTTTAGGAAGACACACTGCATATCATCTGGCTACTGGGCGGATCTTCTCAAATTCATCAGATAATCAAACAGGGCCAGAAAGTCCTCAACAGCTTTGTGTAATGAGATTATTCAGCTGTTTATTTATTAAATACTGTAAGAATTGCAGACATTTCTGTTACAGGATCCAGTCCAAGCTTYACCAGCTTTGACAGACCTGGATGAAGTCCATGCCCAATATCCAGTGTAAATTCAGGCCCATGAACAGATGTCCACATCGATCCAGCTTTAAGCAGACATTTAAGCAGACACTACTAGCATATTAGCAGTATTCTCATAGTGCAATACCTGTGCTTATGTATCCTCCCAGCCCATCGGTTGCTAACTGCTGAGATCAGCAGGACTCAGAAGAGCATTAACTACAGAGCACACCAGAGACCAGCTCAGCCACTGCCAGGGGCTGGTGACTCGGGCTCCTCACAACCACGGGGGCAGCACAGGTGGCAGCAGCAAGAACAGSATGCAGAGCGGAAAGGAGCAGTAAGAGGAATGAGGTGATACTGGGGCTAGCAAGGCCTATACACAAATGTTGGGAACTGCATCACAGCCCACCACTTTATCCAGGAGATGCTGCTCCTGGATGCTTGGCTGGCGGGCAGCTTTCCTGCTGTATCCAATACAAACTGCACTGCCTGTACTGGGAGACTCTTTGGTCCAGGCTCATGGGGTCCATCACCTCCTTTGGGGTGGSATTCCTACACCACAGTTACTAGCAGCTATGGCCATCTTCATTTTTCAAAATAGTACATTTATACTCTTGCACATAGCTTTTTCAATTGGGATTAGGGCTTTGAGATAATTCCCCAGGGACATTCATTTTTCTTTTTCAGATCATTCCTTAAAACTATTTTTAATGCTAAGCCTACACAAGGCGCACGCATGCACGCAAACCTTTATAAAAGTTTGTTAGTGCTCCCAACACTGGCATGTGACAAGGCTGTTTCCTGGTGCTCCTTCACCTGTCCTGCGGTTTGGGGTTTTKGGGTTTGACTTCAAGTTCTCTGCAGAAGGCTTCCTGCTTTGCGGTAAGTACTGTGGAAACCTAAAGCAATTGATTCTGGTTCATAACCAAGTCTGAGGTAATATTATAATAAAAAWTAATGAGAAAGGGATGCTATGGATTGATTCTGTGGTCATTGTTTCATGAAGCAGGACCCCAAGAATAACAACTGTAAATAATATCCTTTATTTTAGAGTTATCCCACACACTCCAGTTTATTATTGTTCTTATCCCAAGAATGYTTAGCACTGTAACAAAAACCATCAGTCCACCTTTGTCTCCAGTTTAAAGACGTTACACTAATCCTTACAAAAGCAAACAGAGTTAGTCCTTTTCTAAGGTCTTCTTGCAAATAAACAACTTGGGTTTGAGAGCAGCTTCCCTCTCATTGTTCCCAGAAGCTTTGATTACATGTTACACCAAGGGAAAAAGGCAGTTCACATTTGGAAGCCATTCCCTAATGGCAAAAGGGTCCTGAACATCAGGTCTGACAAAGAAGGTAATCTGAATCCCCTACATTCTCTCTTTGGCTAACGTAAAAAGAGAAAAGAAGCTATCAAGTGCATCAAACTTTATACAACAGTGCATAGCCCAAGAAATACCACATGGCCCAAATCTTCAAAAACACAGGGAAGCCATTGGTTTCAAATAAAAGGAAAATGTTCTCATAGACCTCAAAATAACCAGCCACACAAGCACACACACATGCCAGTTCTGAAGGCAAAGCAGAACTAAACATTACTGATGAAAACGGTTCCTTTACAACTTCTGTTCTGCTGCTACTACTTTCATGCAGATCTATCTATGTAGCTCTTAGACGAAAGGCAGTGGCTACGTCTTCTCCAAGAACTAGTTGCTTCTCTGTCTTCCTTACACCAGTAAGGGAAGGAAAGAGTAACTTTCTCACATACGTAAGAGGAAATAAGCACCATCAAATAAAAAATTTACCACATTTATGTGTCAGCAGAATAACTAACTCAGTCCTTTTGACACTATTATTCCAAATCGTAACAGTCTTAGGAAATTCATGCATGCTGCTGTATAAATTCATATAGCAAGGGAATAATTTAATGAACAAAGCAATGCTTCATATGCCAGTAGTTGTAGTGAAAATGTAAAATGTCGTTTGGCGAGAGGCACAAAACGTGATTTTCCAGCTATTTARACATAAAAGCAGAGCTGCAAGCTAATTAATGCTGTACCAGACTATCTAAGCTCTATTAAATTTGTACAGTAAAGAGTGCAAAGAGTTTATACAAAACATCACTACCATCTTGAAGTGTCCAAAGGACAAGTGGCATATAGAAAGATAAGGAAGAAAGTCTCATAAAAATAAAAGATATCTCAAAAGCCCAAATATATATATATATATTTATATATATATATATATATTTATATATATATATATAATTCTCCAGGAGGCCAAAATAAACCAGGCTTATGAGGTAACACAATTTATTTCATCCTCTGCATTCTTTTTTTTCCTCCTTTTCTTTCTCAACTGCACGTTCTGGCTGGCAGTAAAAGACTGTGCAAATCAACATCAATATCAATGATACATGCTTCTTGGTGAGCAAAGCAATCAAATAAACACAATTATTTATACAGCTAATGAGAAAATAGTTTATAAATGCTGGTTTTAAACACATGTTGATTAATATTGGTCTGTCCTCACAGAAATTGATTTTCTCTGCCAATTAAATACTGCCCTGAAAAACACAGTTTCAAGACAGCCATGGAATTCAAGACATTCATCCTCATATCAGTTTCTTTTGTTTCTCTAAAACTGCAGTCCTAAACCTGAAAACTCTTAATTACATGGGCAATCCCACCACGCCAGCTCTTTTTGAGCACCTTCATGTTGTTTTCTATTCTGCTTTTTAACATGGGGAGGATCATCCCTCTTCTCAAAACTTAGAAAACTCCTTAAAAAGTTCTTCTCTACAATGGTACCTACAGGAAACAACTTCATGGAATCTGAACACCTGCTATGCCAAGACAGGCTTCTCTTTTTAAAGAGCCTTATTCAGCACTAAGGACTTCTCTCCCCAACTTACTCTGMTCCTCCCTCATAATATACTGATACTAAAAATTCTTTCACCTAGTCTTAAAAATGAAAAATCACGAAGAAATTACAATYCCTGTTACAAAATTAAAAAGCTTCTCCCATGGCTTTAGCCACAGGCAGATGACACTCACATGAGAATTAACAGGCCCCAGTTTGCAGGGCTGTCCAAGCCATATTGGGGTTGGGTAAGAGGGCAGGGACACCATAAACAAAGTTGCTCAGGTAGACTTTGTTTCTACAAGAYGAAAGCTATGCCCTTCCACTTCACAGACAGGAACAACTTAAGTTACAGCACGTACTCATGAGTGCTTTCAGATTTTACATGCTCTGAATGTTGCCGACCCACGGAATGTGAAGCCATCTATAAGCTAAGACCTTATAGATGCTTATGCTGGAGTAATTGATAGTGCTTCATGCTGCATGTAGAGGAGTCTTAAAAGTAATGCAAGAATGTCACCAGAGAATAGGAGAACGAAAAACACTACAGGAGAGAAAAAGGTTGAATCTATTCAAACCATCTACTTCAGCAAAGCTAAAAGGTGCAACATGACTTTAACAGGATGACTACTTTTATTCCAAAGCATCATGAGTGACAAGGACTTCATTTAAGGCRTAATTACTGTTATGGAAGAGTTTGAGCTCTTCACTTGATAAAGACAAGAATCAGAACTGACTTTCATGTAGAGGTGGCAGTATCTGCTTATCTATATCTATAAAGATCTATAAAAAGTCCACCATGGACCTTGCCTGGTGTAACTGACTAAATCCTCACTGGTATTTTAAACATACTCTTTCATAGTAAGCAGCAGGGGAGGTCTTCAAGATCTAGGACTACTACCACTMGGTTAACTGGCAACAGTCAGGCACTTTCAAAAGAAACAAGTAAGGTAAGGCAAGAATATTTCATAGCACAACTTAAGATATTTGTAATTCAAATTTACCATTGGAAATTCTTTTCTTCTATCAGGACAAACAATGCTACTACTCATTTGTGGAAGACTTAAAAATWAAAGATAACAGACATTGATTCAAACAGAACTTTATACTCCAAATCTTATTGCTGACCTTCTACTAGCTGGTCCAAGGAAGAGATCTTCTTGGTGCCATCAATTGTGTAGATTGTTCTCACCCCCTGGGGCAGATTCACATTGTCAGACAGAGTTCGGGTCAGATCAGCCAGCAGCGCCTCGAAGGATCTAAACCGGTCAGGGGAGATGGCATATACAATTCCTTTGAAATAGCGGTCTCCGTTCCGATAGAAACGGACTTTCTTAGCCTTTTTCTCAGAACTGAGGGTCTGTAGGGTACGGGTTCGGTAGAAGCTGCAGTGGGCACTGTGGGTAGGGCTAGGCAAACCGTTCACCCGGGACCCTCTGCCATAGCGCTGCGCCTTGTCACGCTCGTCAAAATGCTCCAGCTCCATATCTCTCCCAAAGGACATCTTGAAGTGCAACCTAAAGGATGAGCAAGAGAAGAGAACAAGTTTAAGAACTAACAGAATTGAAGAGGGCTCATTTTGAGACTTCATATCATATACAGAGCACACACAGAAAACTTCTTTTCGAGTTCAGGAAAAGGCTTGAACAAAGACATGCTACACTCAAGTTCTTTTCATAGCTCTCTTGTCAGACTAAAAAGTTGGGGTTTCATACACCATAGACATACCACTCATGAAACCAACCACTTAGCAATATGCCAACAGAATAAGAAGTGTGTGTTTAAATTCAGTAGCACCTCTGAAACTTAGATGGCAAAGCTGAACTACAGGGAAAAAGAGAGCAAACAAGTCAGCTGCCTTTTCCTCATCTTACATTGGGTAGTATTTGAAACCTATTAGAAATGACTTAACAGTTCCTACCACTTCCTCAGAAGTTGCCATCTCAAAAGACAATACTTGTTGCCAACCACTAAGCAATTAAGAACTTTTGCAAAACAGATATTCCAGGTTGGTGAAGAAAGTCCGGACTGTCACTACCAGTAGGCTGACTTAGGGGGATCAATTTCACTGTTAAGAAGACCTTGCTTACTCCAATTACTGGTTTCTCAACAGCCTAACCTTTGAAATAACTTATTTTCATTGTCCTTTTGCAAATACTTTACATACTCTAAACCAACAGAGGTGCTCAAATGTCATAAAATAAATAAGAAAGGCAAAAACGGAAAAAAATTAGATGGAATCATGAAACTAGTACTATTCAGTAAGCAGGCTACTTTACTGCTTTATAATATTACCAAATGTATTATTAATATCCCAGGTCTAATATTCAGGTTGATCAATGCTGACAAGAGTCTTTCACCACAGGAAGACTATCACTGAAGGAGGGATAAATTCAATGTCAGCAGGCAAATTAGCAATTTATGTCTTCCATGTTTGACAGCAGCAAAGGCACTTCAGTATGGGCAGTTCTGACCAAAATGACTGTGAGTGCTCAATACAGCTCATATTTTCTGAAAAGAAACTAAGAAAGTATATACTTGCTTTCCTTTTTATGACCAACACAAGAATAATTATCACAAGTGTGATGTTAATCATATATAAAACGAACAAAAAYGATTAAAAATGAATTAGGTTGAAAACACACATCTAGCTTAAAAGCCACCCACACTTGCAGTTATCTGCAGAACAGAAAAGCACAGCAAATTTACAGTACAGATACACAGACCTAATTTAGAAGTGGTCTTTCTCATTGATTTCCAATGAAAAGGAAGAAGAATAAGGAGGGGGAAGAAAAAAAAAAAAAAAAAAAAAAA